ACGTCTGGGTGTACCGGCCTGCGGTGTCTGCAGCCGAATGCCTGGGCGATAGTTGTCACAAGTGACCCCCCTGAGGTTGCTGTAAATCTTTGGCGCTCCCCGGGGGTAGGGCCTTCCGTGGGGGGATTTTTACAGGATGTCGTTCCCCCGGGATGGGACGGGAGGGAGGGAATCAAGAGCAATCGTTGCAAAATCCCCACCACCTCTGGTACGTGCGACGCCAGGAGGGGGCGGCCTGTCCACCCATCTTCTCATCATAGGGGGAGGTGCGAAGTCCCTGTGGACGGTACGGGGTGGGCACTACAGGCACCATAGGCCTTTCACAACCCAATAGTGGGCACCATATGCCTGCCGCCACCGATTGGAGGTACACCTGAGGTCCTCCACCATTTACTATTTCATTACAACGCCCATTGAACTGTGTCATCTGATACTTCAACCTCTCTCCAGGAGGAGCGACCCACATGGGCCTCCACGAGGCAACTCCAGAGCAGCACCTAGTTCCGAGAAAACGAGGCGATCTGGAGGATAATCCAGGGCCTCCTCCTTTCTCCTATTTCTCCTCCGTCTGCTCTTTCCTTCGTCATCGTCCTACTCCTTCCTCCCTTGGAAATCCAGAGGGCGTTCAGGTTTAGACGGGAGACCGCAAGGCTCTAGCAGGATGCGTCCAAGGAAGGACAGGGGTAACAAGTAAGAGCAGGAGGATAACGATGACAAGTGAGAGGAGGAAGGTGAAGAGAAAGGGACAAAAAAAGGAATGAGGAGGACAGGGCGAGGTCATCCTGCCTCTGTTCATCCCTCGCCTCTACCTGACGCACGCCACCCGGGGTCAGCTGAAGCACAACAGAACACTCTCGAATAGAAAGAACACTGGACGCTCAACGAACAAAAAACAGAACAGCAAGCTTGGAGCGGTGAGCGAACGCTGAATCAGGACGAAGGATACAAGCCATTTCCTTACATCATCTCTCCTCCCCTCTTCCTCTGCCTCCGTCTCCTACTCCACCTCCTCCTCCTGCTCCCCACCCCCTCCTCGTCTTGATCCAACCCTATCCCATACAATTTCGCCGGCCCAACGGGCCCGAGGCGTGCTAAGATCTCCGGTAACTGGTTAACAATATTTCTAGTTCGCGCGCGCGGGGCGGCCCCTGGGGGTCCCCCAGCGAAAAGTATCCCGACCGCAGCCCGACCAAGTCTACCCAGAGATGGTTTTGAGGGCCTTTTTCGACACCCCTCACGAGGATGCCTCCGAGGGGGGGGCACTCGACTACCCCGCCCCAAGAGGCCTCCAAGAGCCCCCCAAGAGGCCCAAGGGGGCCCGAAGACACCGCCAAGGAGCCCCAAGAGACCCCCAAGAGGCCCCCAAGAGGCCCCTAGGAGGCCCCAAAGAGACCCCCAAGAGGCTTCAAAGAGGCCCCATAGAGCGCTCGAGGGCTGGCGGAATAAGCGAAGCGATTAAATAATTCCCCCTGTTTCACCCCCAAACGTGCCGGTAGGGCGGGCTGGGCGATTCGCACGACGTCCTCACCATGTATGATCCTGAAGCTTGAAATTCGCAATGGTTTCACGGATGTAAGGGGGCGGTTCTCAAAATATGGCTCGCGCCTTAGCGCCACGCGTATTCGTCTTTAGACATTTGAAACAGCGTGGATATGGATGTGGCCCTCGTCTTAGCACCACGCACACTCGCCTTAAAAAGTTTGCAACCGTTTGACGGATGGAGAGGGTCGTTTTCATACTATGGTTCCCGTTCAAGCTCCACGCTCACTCGTCTCAAATCTGCAAAAGGTCTCACTGGTGGGGGCGGCGGTTTCAAAATGCGGTTCTCGCCTGAGCGCCGCGAGGATTCTTCGTAAAGGTTTGCAATAATGTCAGGAATGGAAAGGGTGGTCTTCGAAAAGGTGTTGACGCCTTGGCGCCGCGCACACGCGTCTCAAAACTTTGCCTCAACTTCTAAAATTGGCACGAGTGTTATCACATGGTGTTCTCGCCTTAGATCCGCGCACATTCATCTAAAACAGATGCAAGATGTATACGGGTTGCAAGGGGCGGTTTCAAAACGTGCCCCTCGTCTCAGCGATGCGAACATTCGCCTTTAAAGTTTGCACGATCCCAAGGATGGAAAGGAAGTGGTTTTCGAAATGTGTTTCTCGCCTTATCTGGAAAGCTAATTCCACCAGCACTTCGCGTTAATCTGGACTAACGATATGTTTATTTTTTTCCAAAAGACATTCTTCCCTCCGGGGAAGGGTACCCTCCCCCTCCCCTCCCTGATGTTTCCTGGGGGACTCGCGATATGCCAGAGGGTCCTCTTTCGCCCAAGATGGCGTCCTTGGTTCCCTATGCTCCAAAATGGCCTCCAAATCGGCTCAAGATAGCCGAAGATGGTTCAAGGGAGTTTCCGACATGCCTCCAAGAGGCCCAACGAGGGCCGCAAAACGGCTCCAAGTGCTCTTGGAGCCCCGATCAAGACCCCCCCATGAGGTCACAATCCTTTTTTTAAACTGAAGTGGAATCAATGACTTAGACCTTCTCGCCTTTTCGCTTCCGATGGATCCCCCGAGTTGCCCAAGAGACGCCCCCGAGTTGGCCCAAGAGACCCCCAAGATGCCCCCACAACGGCGCCGAGAGCGCCTAAGATCGACCCAAGAGCGCCCCAAGAACGCCCCAAAGGGCGAGTTTGATGGCCCCGATGGGGAGGGAAAGGAAATCGAGGACCCCCCAAGAGGCCCTCCAGGAAACTAAAAGGGCCCCAACAGAGCCCAAAGAGGGCCCCAAGAGAGCCCCACGACACCCCCCAAAAGAAATATCCTGGCGAAGGACCCAACCATTTGCAGTTGTGAGTAACGCGTTGTGGGTGCCGGTTTCGGTGGAGCTCCCTATGGGGCCACGAAACGCGTGAAGGACGTGCCGTAATGGGTGGGGGAGACGCATGCGAGCGGTGCCATTGGGGCCTTCGGTGGGGCTCCCTATGGGCCACGAAACGCTGTCCTGGGTGTGGCTGACGCATGCGGGCGGCGCCCCTCGCTGGAGCTCCCGATGAGGCCACGAAACGCTGTACTGGTTGGGGGGAACGCATGCGGGCGGTGCCGCTGTGATCTTTCTGAGGAGCTCCCTACGGGGCCACGAAACGCTGTTCTGGGTGGTGGCTGACGCATGCGGGCGGTCCCACTGGGACCCTCGGTGGAGCTCCCTATGGGGCCACGCAACGCTGTACTGGGTGGGTGAAACGCAAGGAGGAAGGGCTATGCTGGGTGGTGGTTGACGCATGCGGGCGGTCCCACTGGGATATTCCGTGGAATGTTTCTTGGGGCCACGAAACGCTATACTGGGTGGGTGAAACGCAGGGAGGAACGGCTGTGCTGGGTGGTGGTTGACGCATGCGGGCGGTCCCACTGGGACCTTCGGTGGACCTCCCTATGGGGCCACGCAACGCTGGAGTGGGTGGGCGAAACGCAGGGAAGAAGGTTTGTGCCGGGTGGTGGTTGACGCATGCGGGCGGTCCCATAGGGACCTTCCATGGAGCTCCTTATGGGGCCACGAAACGCTGTACTGGGGGGGGTTAAACGCAAGGAGGAAGGGCTGTGCTGGGTGGTGGTTGACGCATGCGGGCGGTCCCACGGGGACCTCCGGTGGAGCTCCACATGGGGCCACGAAACGCTGTACTGGGTGGGTGAAACGCAGGGAGGAAGGGCTGTACTGGGTGGTGGTTGACGCATGCGGGCGGTCTCACTGGGACTTTCGGTGGAGCCCCCTTATGTGGCCACGGGACGCTGTACGGGCGAAACGCAGGAAGTAAGGGCTGTGCTGGGTGGTGGTTGACGCATGCGGGCGGTCCCACGGGGACGTTCAGTGGAGCTCCCTACGCTGTACTGGGTGGGTGAAACGCAGGGATGAAGGGCTGTGCTGGGTGGTGGTTGACGCATGCGGGCGGTCCCACTGGGACCTTCGGTGGAACTCCCTATGGGGCCAAGTGTACTGGGTGGGTGAAACGCAAGGAGGACAGGCTGTGCTGGGTGGTGGTTGGCGCACGCGGGCGGTCCCACTGTGACTTTCGGTGGAGCTCCCAAACGCGGGGCCCGTCTCTTCAAAACGAGGACCCAACACCACAGGATGATTGGGAAAAACTCATGAAGACCCCAGGATCCCACAAAAGAGTCCCAAGATGGCTCCAAGAGGCGATTTTGAGGGTTCTGTCCTCGTCGTCGTTGTTTTCCTCCTCCTCCTCCTTTCCTCCTCCTCCTCTTCGTTTTCGCCCTCGTCTTTGCCATCATCGTGTTCCTGTCCTTGTTGCTCCTCTTCCTCGTCGTCGTCGTCGTCGTTGTCCTTCTCCTCCTCCTCCTCCTCCTCTTCCTCCTTCCTCCTCCGCTTCCTCCTCGTCCTCCTCCTCCCTCCCCTCGCTTTCCTCCTGCATCCCTTGCCTTTTGAGATAACTCTACCCTCTCGCACCCCGAAGCCACTCGAAAGGGCGGGCCGGGCGCTTCGCCTGAGACATCCTCACCACTGATGACCCTGAAGCTGAAAAGTTGGCAACAACTTTAATGTTGATTCGCAGTGTTGCAATCCCGAGAACAATGTTGTGGCATGCTTCAGAGTCTTCAAACGGTTGACTCCCAACGAAGCAGCTCCCTCACTGGAAATGAACCATGTATGGGGCCTACGAAGAGGGAGTTTGGGAGGAGGTTGTATTCCAACATCGTTGAAGAGTCTTGGGTTTACACTGGTCCTCCTCCTCCTCCTCTTCCTCATAATCATCCTCATCATCCTCGTCATCATCATCATCATCAATCATCATCATCATCATCATCATCATCATCATCATCATCATCATCATCATCATCATCATCATCATCATCATCATCATCATCATGTTCCTCCCACTCCTTCCCTCGCCCCCACGCGGGCCCCAGGGATGGACCGAAGAGGCCCTCCAAGGCCACCCCCTTGCTCACAGAGATCTCTCTGTTTACCCCGTCTGCCCGCTTTGTTTCAATAGACGCGTCCCTTTGTACCCGTCAGGTCCCATGGACAGGGTTTCTGACTGGGCTGGTTGGGAGACGATTTCTGAAGCACAAATTAAGTTTTGCGGGCCAAGACGACATAACAACCTAAAAGCAAACTGGGGTGACCTTCATCACCTATGCGGTAGAAATGCTCTAAAAAAAGAGCCCTGCAACTGACTGTGCGAATCGAGATAAGAGCCGGCCGGGTGCATGGACTGACCCAGAGGATGCGGACTTACGTAACACTTAGATGATGCAGCCACGTGGAGCGGCATCTGCAACTGAAGGATTGGGCTGGCCGTTGATGAACCTCCAGCGGCTCGCCTGATCCCACCTGGTACTGTAGCGCACGTTGCTGAAACCTGCTCGGCCACGTCGCTTCAGCTGTGTCGCGTGCTTCGTGAACGCGCTGCACATGCCATACACTGACCACGCGTTGTGATCCATAGTGTAGCTGTGCTCGTTGATCACACAGTCGTTGATCCCGGGGGGGGAACTGTAGGCGTCGATCTGCTTCTGAAAGCCATGGTCGCTGAACTCGTTGCCAGAAAGCGGCCAAGGAACTGGGCGTTACTGCTGCGACTGGCGATGAAAAAGCTGCTGATGCAGACTGTGCCGATGCTAAATCTGTAAGTGCTGACGCGGTGGATTTCGGTTCCACATTGCATCTCCTGCCAAGCCGCTGGTCATCGGCTCCAGGATGGCGGCGAGGTGCCATCGGCAAGGACCCCTCGCCTGGTTCGCTGGGAGTTGGCGGCCCACGCGCAAGCGCCATACAGGAGGCAAGGGAGCCAGCCCTGGCCCAGCTGTTGTGTTTTTCGATCTGGTGGAAGCAGAACATCAAGATGATCATCGCGGTGATGCCGATGCGGATGAGGAGGCCCATAGACAGAGCGACACACATCATGATAAGGCGGATGAGAGCCACTATGTCCTGCGTGCGCCTCGTCGGCGACGGCGTGCCACACTCTCGGTGAACTTCTCGAAAGTCTCTCCCTTCTGGACTGGCTTCTGTCGGCCGCGAGAGAATTCTCTACGTGTGCTAGCACAATGCTGACGCCGCGGATGTTACGGTCACGTTTCCTCTCATTGGCATATGTTCGAAATCTTCGACCCCAGGCGAATGTAGACCATCCTCCTCCATGTTGAGCGCCGCCGATCTCGCCGTGCTGACCAGTTTCAATACGAATTCGGACGCCATGCAATGAGAACCTTCAATGACCTCGCTGAACTGACCGTCGTCTTGAACACGTAGGGGAAGACGTCGCTGACGTCCGTGTATGAGTTATGAGCGTGGTTGACATCCAGCTGGAAATTGAAGGTCTGGGCGTCGTTGCCGCCCTGGTGGGAATATGAATGTTGGGCGCCGCGGACATCCAGCAGGAAATTGAACAACGGGGCGTCACGGACGTTTCGGTAAAGGCTAGAGTTCCAAATGGAATTAAGGGACTGGGCGTCGATGAAGTCATTGGAAAATTCTAGATTCGACAAAAAAAGTCTGGGCGTCGCTGACGTCCTGGAAAATTGAAAGCTGGGGTGGCGTCGAACGAAGTCGCTGACGTCCGGGACGGAATAAGTGCTCCGCAGCCGCAAGAGGCGCAGAATGCGCAGGAAGCCGCTGGGCTTCGATTCTGGGTGCGGCGTCGCAGACGTCGTCGTGACTACGGACGGCCCTCATGCCACTGTGTTATCTGGAATGTATCCTTGGTAATACATTTACTATTGCGTGGCTCTAAGGCCAAGGGCCCTCGAAATTTGAGAGGAGACGCTTGCGGGAGAAGGGGGATAGAGGAAGGCAACGCAGCGGGGAAGACACAGGAATCGAAATTAGGGGCTTGCGAGGGGACTTGGGACTGGAGAGACTTGGTTTCCTCTGGTTCCTCCTCCTCCTCCTCCTCCTCCTCCTCCTCCTCCTCCTCCTCCTCCTCCTCCTCCTCCCCCGGCCCAATGCCCAGAGCGAGGCGCCGCCTGCGATGGCGTTCCATGGGGGGACCGCGCAGCCCAAACCGAAGCCGACCCCTGCGCGCCAAAATCCGCGCCCCTAGCACGCGGCCAGGAGAAGCTTCGGTCGTAGACGAAGCTGCGGCGCCACAGAATCCACAATGCCCACGAGCAAAGTTCCTTCCTCCTTGCTCCTTCCTCCTTCCTCCGTCCTCCTTCCTCCTTCTTTCCTCTATACTACTCCACCTCCTCCTCCTCCTCCTCCTCCCCCTCCTCCTCCTCCTCCTCCTCCGCCTCCTCCTCGTTCCTTCTCCTCGTCCTTGACGAAGCCAAATTTCCAACAATGGCCTGACACCGAGAAGCAACCCAAATTCGCAAATCGCTCTCGTGTCGTCCATCTTCGCCAGAAGGAGTCGACCTTGGGGTGGCGGCGGCTGGCGGGACGTCCGCACGGATCCATTTGCTCAGAGTCTGCAGCACCAGGGGCGCATAGCCGAAACGCGCCAAGACAACGCCAGTGGCACGGCGCTTTTAGATTGCCTGGATGGATCCAGACTTCTCCGCATGGCTGAAATATTCGAGTCATTGGTTACGTGAGTGCTGCTTTTTGGTGTGCCTGCTTTGTTTTCGAACGACTCTGCAATATGTCGGATCGTGTTTGGAACATGAGCTGAACGCGCTGAAGCGATTCGGGTATGCCGAATGATGTGTTTGGACTGTTTGGGTGGGGCGCCAAAAATCAAGCCACCGATATGCTAGAAAGCCCAATAGATTACACAGCCCGCCGGCAGCCGACCTCGTGTCAACCGTATGCAGCGGAGTCCAAATCGTCGGGGATTCCAGGGGGCAAAGACTACACCAACCGGACACACTTCGAAGCGGCGACGCCGGCCCAGCTGGCACCTGCGCCAGCCGAATGCAGCAGACAAGGGCAATCGACCGCAAATGAAAGACGGTCACAGACGGCTGCATCTAAGCAGTCACATCCGACATGTGGCGATCGACGGTGGCAGATGTCTTCAAGATGATGCTCGTATGCAGGAAGGTGGCGCATCCCTTCTCCAGCAAGCGTGCCACAGCCGAATGTTGCGAGCCAAACTCGAAAAAAGAGCCCGTGTGCGCCGCATCAGGTGCGCTGGCAGATGGTCGACTCGCTGCTGCCCCGAGGTTTTCCGTCCTTTGTTCTTGGAGGTTCAAGATGGCGCTGCTCATATCAGGCCAATGGGGATGCAAAATGATAGAAAAATCGAGCAACGGTAGGGAGGCAGCAGGATTTTCGCGGCTTCTGTCAGAACAGCGGCGACTCAAGGTCGATCATCATCATCATCATCATCATCATCATCATCATCATCATCATCATCATCATCATCATCATCATCATCATCATCATCATCATCATCATCATCATCATCACCATCACCATCACCATCACCATCACCATCACCATCACCATCATCATCAGCAGCAGCAGCGGCAGCATCATAATCACCATCATCAGCATCATCATCAGCATCATCATCAGCATCATCAGCAGCATCATCATCCTCATCATCATCAGGATCATCACCATCGTCATCACCACCACCATCACCATCACCATCACCAGGACCATCACCATCATCATCACCAGCCCCATCATCATCATCAGCAGCATCATCATCATCAGCATCATCATCATCAGCATCATCATCATAATCGTCATCGGCATCGTCGTCATCAGTAGCATCGATGTATTCATTCATCCCCGAATACATGAATACTTGAAAAAATGCCACTACGAAATCCGTTTAAAACTACAGCCGTCTTCGTCGCCATCATGTGTCGCCGCCATCATCACCTCTCTTCACGAGCCTGCTCATAGGCGAGCCGTTTACTTCGGAACCCCCTCGGGAGGCCCTTAGGAGGCCCTACAGAAATCCTCGGGAAGCTTTCGGAGGCCCGTGGAATGCCATTGCGGCCAATAAGAAAACCCTGGAAGCCCTGGAGCCACCAACCGTTCACTTCATAGGACTAGTGGAAGCCCACGGGAAAACCCTGGCAGGCTCTGCCAAGAACCTCGAGGAGCTCTGGCAAGACTGCCCTTGGAAGCGGCCATCCGCAGCCGTTGACACCTCCCCTCCAACGTAAGCTCACTTGCTGGGCATTCGCAAGCTAGCTGGCTAGATCAGAAATCTATGCTGGAGGGTTGCACCCTACGAACAGGCCAGGTTCCTGGATTCGATTTCTCAAAGGGCCTCTGCGCTTGGATGGTTGAACGAAGCTGTATAATGTCTGAAGTAACATGGAGGAATTCGGAAGAAACCCTAAGGCATCCACAGAACATGGCTGGCGTGATGAGAACAAAAAAAAATAATTAAAAAAACGGTCTGACAGGATATTCTAAGGAGCCCACGGATGTCGAACATAATACTGAGTAGTGCCTCCGACGTACTTCTCAACCATATGTCAGAGACCCCAAGGGTACCCTGAGCCAGCCCAGGAGAATTATGAAGAAATTCCACAGATGTCCTAAGACGCTTTAAGAATGCACACAAGGCTCCGAAAGAACGATGCGGATTTCCGATGGGATGCCGAAGAAATTGCCATCTTAGTAGGTAGCACCTCAGGGGTCTTTAGAAGTTGCTATGAATAGACACTCCACGCGATGACGGCAACGACTACAACGATGACCAACTGAGACGGGCTCGTTCGGTTCCCTGACTCCGCAAACATTCGGGGATCCTTAGGATTCGGTGGGAATATGAAGGACAACGCCCAGAATCCTAAGAAATTGAACTGTGACGACGCAAGACATGCAAAAAGAGCCCTACGGGAAGAGACGGAGTTCTCATGGAGTGCCGCGAAAACCATCTTAGTAATCAGTTCTATGACACCCCATTCTCCCCAAGACCTGTTTGGGAAACATTGTAATGCCCTGGGGTTTCCCGGGGATTCCGTGAGAAATCCTTACAAGGCCAAATCACCTGCACATGGGATACTTCACGACATCGACGGCCGACTACGACGGGCAACTTCGGATTCCTGATGCGGCAACCCTCGGGATGCGGACGGAATCATTAAGAATCCCAAGAGAACTCTAAAACGTTCTCAGAAGTTGTACTAGTGACCCTCAAGGTTCCCAAAAGGCCCTTAGGAAAGGCATGGTTTTCCGACGTCATGCCGCGGAACTGACCACCAGGCGGAATATCCCACAACACACCATGGGCAACCCGAACCATTCGTCTGAATCTGTGAATTTCCTGGGGGGAGAGGCTCCAGGTGAACCTGCAGAGCCCCGAGAAGCTGTAGGATCAGGGAGAAGGGCGCTCCCTGTATAAACGAGCATGCCGTGATTGGTCGCCATTCCTGAGTATGCTTGGGACTCCAAAAAAACGATTGATGCCTTCCTATATATCATTTGAAATTCCTGAAGGGTCCGAAGAATGCCATCTAGAATCCGCAGGCTTCCGAGAAATCGAAAGCATTAGCTCCGAAACTCGATTGATGATTGCACGAGGGATCCCTGCAAGAGCTAAAGAATATGTTCGAAGTATGGCTTAAGATCCCCGCTTCCTCCGAAGAAGTGATGCTGCCCCTTGTATGGGTTCCCTGAAACTGCTCGTGGGGCGGGAAGATATGCCACCGTCCGGGCAGACAACATGTACCTCCCCCCTGCCCCGAAAAAACGGTGTCATAAAGCAAAGAGTGCGTACTGAGGCTGGACTAAACATTCATTGCGCAGTTATGGACGAAAAGACGCTAGACCACACTTCCTAAGTACATCGCCCGTATAAAACAATAGACCCCTCATCGGTTGATGTTCGTACTAGAAGACAATCAAACGTGTACTCTGCCCCTCGTGGATGCACCAAGGGGTAAGCACCGGCCCCACCCCGCCTCGTGAACTCACGAGAAGAGAACGCGTGCGAGAGTAATGCCCCCTCAGGGACCATGAATCGCCGCATCAAATGATTCATTGAGCTTCGATGTCCGTTTGGTGCGTGCGGGCTCGACGCAAATGATCAAACGTCGTCCTGGAAAACGACTCCTGAAGCTTCCGTCTTCGTTCTGTACCTGAGAGGGGCACTCCAATCTTTCCAGAATGCGACTTGTGGAGCTGTGTGCCTGCTGCATGCATCGGGGTTGTACCAAAAGATGCGTGAACCGTCCCACAACACATGTCCTTGATCTTTGATTCTCGCTCCCTGAGCGAAAGTTGCACCCTATCAGCCAGAGGTCGTTCCAGAACAGAGCTCCTGGAGCTTAGTGTCCAGTCCGTGCGTACTGGTTGCACTCAACTGTCCTACAAGTAGTCCTCGAGCTTCGTGCCTGTTTCGCGCGTGAGGGTTGCACCCGAAGAGAAATCAGTAATCTCAAGGCACAATTTCTGCAGAGTCGATGTCCGCTCCGTGCGCGAATTGCACTACGAAAACGTTCTGCTCGTGAGGGCGTGCGCCAAAATGAGCCAGTAACCCTCCGAGAGGCCCGGAAAGCATGGATGCCCCACAGTCCCTGAAGGCTGTAGCCGACAACAAGCATCCGTCTGAGACATGCCTAGCTAAACGAAACGTAGGTTCGGGGACGTCGGCTGACAACGTCATCGATCCTGGCCCAGCCGATCCTGAGCCCGCGATGGGTGTACATGCCTCCCTGGCCAGGATCGGTGACGCGGTCAGTTAACGTCGCCCGAGCTAAGGAAACACCATGGGGGACTTCCTAACACGGCGGGGTCGGCGGACGGGGAGTGAGCCTCTCGAATATCATCCACCAGAAGCCAGCCACAGCCGTGGACGCGAGGGTCGCCACGGTCATGAGCATGCAGGCCAGCAAGAGAGGTGGTCGGCGACCCCACAGGTCAGCCACATAGCCCGAGAAGATATTTCCGAACATGTTACCAACGAAGACGCAAGATACCAGCGCTCCACGCTCCATATTCTGGAGGGAGTATTCACTACTGATAGAATTTGCTGCGACATTGAGCATCAAGACGACGCCACCACTGAGCACCGACTTCCCACCGCCATACAAGAGAATGCTGTGCTGGGCTCTGCCATAACCGATGTCATCGATAACATCGTCCAAGCGGCGACCTGGCCGAGCAGCTGCCGCCATGTCAGGCCGAACTCGCACTTGGGCCTGTCGACATGAAGCGGCTGGCGGGGATATTAAATAGTCTGCAATAAAACGGAAATGCAAGCGACCAGCCCGGGCAAAAGCCCAGCTTTCGAGCCGCGATGGCTTGGCCGCTTTGGCCCAGTCTTGCGCATCTCCTGGTGGTCACTGCTCCTCCTCATCATCATCCCTCCTCCTCCTCCTCCTTCTCCTCCTCCTCCTACTCCTCCTAACTCTGGCTCCAGCTTCGGCTCCAGCTTGCGCTCGCCCCTCCTCTTCTCGTGTTGCTTATCCTTCTCTGTCTAGCGCTGTGCACAGTTCAGTTCTCCCATCCTATCTTGTGGCACTCTGCACGTTTCTCACACCGGGCAGTGGCTCTGAAATTGTGGAGCGGATGATGGAGTCCAACGGTTGCGAGGGTTGACTTCCAAGTCCGCGTGACAGGTATGATGGGTGTTCCAAGAG